AGTAATAAATGCCTTACTTAGTCAGTAATGTAAAATGGACTAGGTATCACAATCTTTGAAAAGTGCTGAAGATGTAGTTGTTTTACTAGTTAGTTTTGTTTTGTTTTTTATTGACATGGCAGTATGGATCTTTGTGCTTGGTTTCTGTGACACAGAGACCACATTTAGAGTGGTCTATATGTTTGTGACAATACTTGTTTTCATTTGGTGCCTAGCCACACATGATTGGTGAATGCAAATGCTGTGTGTGCTCAAATTGCAAGTTTTGCCATGGACAAAATTGTGCGTTCAGATATATAAAGATTTGGGGCTTGATTTCCCATTGTATTACTCACCCACTGTAACTCTATTCACTCAGTTCCAGTAGAATTGCAGCAACTTGAGACAGGAGTAACACAATAGTAACTCACATCTTTGTGCTTTTTGACAAACAACGTGTATACTTTGGACATGCCTTATGCGTAGTTTAAAGTTTGGCACACAAAACCTGAGTTACACATTTTTATGTTGGTACAATGAGTTTATTACTAATGTGTGAAGCTTCATGATTGCTATTGTGCAGATTTTCAATTAGATAAAATTTACTAGTAAAATTATGGTTAGGTTTTGTATATGGATGCTTTATCTGTGATGACACAATATACAGGCTGCATGTTTATGGATATGATAGATAAATTATGATTTTCCAAGATGATAAAGGTAAGCAAAATTTTAGATTTTGGAACCGGAAAGGAGACCTCTGTCTATTCTTGCACCAGCGCCTTCTCGGGCCTTGCTACGCCACTGCTAGCAAGGTTTATCCTTCCCAGTCCTGAGCCTAGGATCAAAGGGGATACTAAATCATTAAAGGACCCCAGACCTAGAAAAAAGAAAGGGAGAGATGAGCCTACATCTACACAACGCGCCACTGGCGGCAGCATGTATGGTATGTGATAGCTATGTGCCGCAGTGAAAAGCAGGTCGGTGAAAGGGTCTGGTGTGGGGAGATAGCATGGAAAAGGTTCAGCAGCTTCTCACTGCCAGAGCCTTTCACTGTGGTGAGGAAAGGCTCTGGGAGGTTGAAGCAGCTGGAAAAGGCTGAGCCCTGTGGCAGGGAAAGCCTGGGAGCTGCCCAAGGCTTTCCCTGCTGCCTCCCAATGCCAGAACCTTTCCTGGCTGGGGGAGTCTTTTCCTGCAGACAGTAAAGGCTCCAGCAGTGGGGAGGCAGTGGGACACTACACTGCTAAAAATAGCTGCACAAACGGGAACATGACTTGGGCAAGCAGAGAGTATGTATGGTATTCGCATAACTCTTCAGGCGTGTCTTTACTTACCTATGTTGTGCCTCCCATCTATGCTGCTATTTATACTTATGCTAGGGGAACTATACATGTATGTACTGCGCATAGTGCTGAAAGAAGCATGCAGTGTATATGTACCTAGAGGCACATACAGAGCATGATACAGCAGCACAACCTACTTCTTCCAGCTGAGAGCTGGAGATAACTGGGCTGAATGGAACTTACCAGAAATTTCAAGGAAAGATTAAGATTTACGTAAGGGGAAGCGTATGTGTATATCAGCCTTTATTGTTTTTACCCTTTTCTCTGTGTACTATATCTATTTGGGTGAATGAATAAATGCTTTAAAGAAGCTGTTTCTGAGTCACTTTAATCAGCTGCTGTCACAGACTCCTGGAAGAAAAGGGCTTTCAGATGACAAACGCAGCTGGGCCTGTCATGTTAACACAGTTGGTAAACAGAGAAGCTGTCATTGAAAGATCCTATCCTAGGTTGTTTGAACTGCATGGGTCTATCCTTGAGAGAAGTAAAGGATGTTGGCCCTGTCACCTCAGGGAGAAAAAGGGATAGAAGGTATGGCTCACCCCGCAACCATGACAGCCAGGATAGCTTCTGTTCAGGGTACTGGTATAAACTGCATCTCCACTAGCAATTTTGCCAGCAAACTTTTTCTAGTGTATATTAAGGCCTAATTCTCCAGTTAACATAGACTATTCTCTATGGTCCCTTCCAGCTCTATTTTTCTATGGTTCAGGGGCACACAAGACTTGAGTTTCCAATATCAACAACATGTTGTTTATTGTTTGAGATGTTTTGTTTGATTAAAACATTTCGAGCCTTCCTTATATATCATATATATCAAAGAAGTGAAAATTGGCAGAAAGCCAGTTCCTCTCCCCCACATGTCCCAATATAGACTGTAATTCTCATCCAGTAACTAATTTCTCCTTTGTATCAATTTTAAGTTCTTGACAGGATAAGTTTGATCAGTCCCTAATGTTTCTATTAAAAAATAATTAAGGAGTTATTTCACTTTAAAAAGTAAATAGGTACATTTGCTCAGTAATATTTAATAAATTGACTTTTTTCATAAGTGAAAGAACTGTGCACAGCTCACATATTCACCCTATAACTCCGAGCTATTACCATTTTTCCAATGGTTAGAGGATGAATCAAGATGTACTGACACTCAGCATATCATAACTCATCCTTGACATGCTTTCATACAACTTCCAAAGATGTCATCCCACATGTCAGTTCCAAAATTAGATTTCATTCCACAATTTTGTGCACTAAAAATATTATCCATGAATGTAGATTGTCATAATTCCAGGACTAAATTTCTGCTGGAAGTCAAAATTTTGAATCAGAAATTAAAAATATATGTTTTCAACACATTATTAATGGTCTCCATTTCACTTGGATATTTTACAATTAATTTTTGTGTGTGACTGCTTCACATTAGTCCCTTTGGATTGTTTTCATGTAGCATATGCTAGGTGACTTAATTTCTGAAAATAAAGAGGTCAGCAGGAAAGTGGAAGGAACAGTGAAACACATAATTTACAAGGTTGCAGCAGCCCCTGCCCTGCAAGCTCCCAAGATATCATAAAGTGTCTTATTAGTAAGATCTGTGAAAAACTGGTAAATCTACTCTTCTTATGAAGATTAATGTCAGCGGTCATTGAAATCACTAAACCCATATAAGCTGCTCTTCATCCAGGTATAAATTTGTCTGCTTTGCTAAATTGTCTTTATAAAAGAGACCCATATTGGTCATTAAATCTGTAGAGCTGCTATATGAATGTGGAGATCAGAGGTCTTATGGGTTCTTTCTGCCCTGTGGCTATGTTACATTTATAGCAAGTGGCTCTTGCAATCTTGTAGACCTAGACAGCTACAAGGAAGCCTGACAAAGAAGCAAGTCTGGTATTAGTATTTTTACACCTGTGTAACACTCCGAGGTATTGACTGATCGGGCAAGTCAAGAAGTTACAAGTGTCAAGCCTTTAAGGGACTATAAAATCTGTCAGAGCCTCTCATTACTCAGTTACTGATGGGACTTCAGCAAATGGATGGTATTCACTTTTTAGACAATGTTCTGTTCTCCCTAGAGTCTGAGGAAAGAGGGGACCATGTGCTTTTTCTAAGCTGTATATCTCCTTGCTTTCCCAGTCTTCTATTGCATATTTTATGCTGGCTATGGTGGTTGCTTGTCTTACTCATTAATTGTGTTCCAATGGTTAGAGCAAAGGACTGAGGGTCACAAACTCACTAAATGACCTTGGGTAGTCACTTACTGCTCAGTTCTTCAGCAACTGTAAGACTAAGTAAAATAGAGTAAGTAAAATAGAGTTGCAGTAATCTCAGATAATTAAATTTACCCACCTGATATACAAGAATCTAAGAAAAAAATACTGGCTACAATATCATCAAGGGCTGAGCAATATAAACAAACACTCATATACAAAGTAATGCTCTGAAAGAATCCATCCACTGGAGAAAAGTTGAGTTTAATGGGTCAGACTAAAAGAGCATAAACCCATAGTGGGTTGTCCTGCATGGGAAGATTTGCGAAAGAATTTGAAGTAAGAAGAAAGGTCTCAAATACCAATGAACATACATTATTATTTTATGTTACTCAAAACCAACTGTTTACTATACATAGGAACTTTATTATGTCAAAAAAATAAGTCATTGGGTTGTTGATATAGCCCATAGGTAGGCATAGTGCTTTACAGTTTTTAAATAGACAAATCTCTGCCCCTAAAGAGTTTTACAATCTGTGTTAGATGTAACATAGCAGAGCAGATAATTGTGGACAAAGGATGAGGGACAGAAGAGTGAGAAGAGATTGGGCCTGATTCTCCACTGCATTACACCAGTTTGAAGCCACTATGAGTCCAGTGGCTTCAGCATAGCTATATAGTAATACAGTGGAGAATCCAGCCCATTCTTTATTATATATGTCTCTTAGTTGCCTTTCTAATTACTCATTATTAACATTCATTTTTAAGTTAATATTTGAGAGAACAAAGTTGAAGAAGAGGTTAGAAGTGGATGGGACTTAGAAAAGCGAACTGTAAAAAGTGGAAAATCAACAATATGTAAAAATGAGAACAGGAGACATCATCTTTTACACATCCTGTGGATGTGTGCATTATTATATAGTCATTCTGCAATAAAATCTGAAGCAGCTAATACCATGACCAAGATATATTGGTTAGAAAATATTTCAGAACATACCCTGCTCATAGGCATTATTTCTGCTAACACAAGCTAAGAAATGTATCTGGATGGTTTGTACTATTAAAGATCAGTCCAGCTGGCTATCTTAGACAAATATTGTTAAATAACATTTATTCATAGAACAAATTACCAGTGCATCATCTGGACTGACATCAATAGTTGACTTTTTTATCAATCAAAAAAATAGACTTAACTTATGTACTAGTGATAGATGAGTAAACATATTGTAATTGCTATCCTGGAAACTTTTTGAAAATATATTGCTATATTGACTTTATAAATACAATACTGTAATAGTATTTGCAGGACCTCATTAAATTACACGTGCATTGTTGTCTGTTAAAAAGAGGCTTGTGTTGGATTTCTCCCACAAAACGGAATCATACAATATATGCAGTAAACCTTTCTCTCTTTTTATCATTTGGATAAAAAAAGAGCAGGTAACTTTAACTAGTGTCCCTTTTATTTTAGGTGCAACAATGAAAATGAATGGTATCAGATCCATGAAAACATTATCCGCAAGTCCAGTACCAAGTACACAGCACCCAGCTCAAACTATGGTAATTTTTTTTTATTTTTTGGCTAGAGAACCCTTAAAGTGTACCTTGATAAAACTGAGAATTCTTTGTGGGCAGAGAAGTCCCACAAGATATGCTGTCACACCTAGCCCATTGCCAGGCATCATACATTCTTTCTAGTTGTTTGTTTATTTGTGCTGATGTTAGTATTTCGTCAGGTAAAGATTTATAGGGCATTACAACTCTGATACATGACTCTCTGAAAATGGCATTTTGGGGTTCCATGTTTGTGTTTTTAATAATTTCCATATAAAATTTATTCAGTTTACAGGTTAAAAAAAATCTCTAACGACCACTCCTACAAATTTGCCGTGGATACAGAAAGTCAAGCTGGATTCTGTCCTGCCTATGCACTGTTGGCAATATTAAAGATTCTGCATGTTAAAGTCTCTCCTTTATTATATCTGTACAATGCCATTGTCTGTAGATCAAAGTGGAGACAACTAGTGGCTATCTCTGAGTTTTCATTTGTGGCTACTCTTAATTTTGTTGGGCATTTTACCCTTGCTTATGAAAACCGGTAGCCAAGGGAAGTGTACAATATCATCAGCTAACTGTACTGGCGAAAATATTTTATATATCCATTTGGAGCAGTGTTTCTTGTTCAGTGTTCCTAGATAGAAATTGAGGGAAGTTCTACAGGAGCTGAAGGATTTGCACAGGAGTCAAAAATTTAATTAGACTCTCTCTTGATTATTCTGGATCATACCACCTAAGTATTCCCATGAAGATTCCCGCAGTGACACATACCTGAGACATGCTCATCTTAGGACACCATGAATCTATTTGTGAAGGGATAAATATTGCATTTCTTTAAGATACTTATCTGATTTTTCCAGAGAGAGACCAGTGCATTTATATCTGAAGATTAATTATCATGAACACTAGCTCTGATAGTTGCAGTGCAGAGTGCTTCATAAATAGCCATGGGCAGTTATTGTCTTGGCAGAGTTCTTACCGTATTCTGAGTCCAGATTTACTAAATTAAATAAATAAATTAAAGATAAATTTGTAATTTGTTGAGTAAATTAATCTTTCTCCTTATCCTGTCAGCCACCTCAGTTTATAAGTGACATAGATAGCTAATTTGGAAATGCAATTGCTATTCCATTCCAAATGCTACTATGTGTTACCCTTAATGTACATGTGCATCCGATGAAGTGAACTGTAGCTCAAGAAAGCTTATGCTCAAATAAATTTGTTAGTCTCTAAGGTGCCACAAGTCCTCCTTTTCTTTATGCGAATACAGACTAACACGGCTGCTACTCTGAAACCTTAATGTACAGTCATTTAAAGGTACAGGCAGTTTTGCTTTTGTTGGAAAATAAATTTAGAATTCAGCAGGACCCCACTGAGGTTTAAATCCTAATCTCTTCTGGATTTCAGTTGTTTACATATCAAATATGCTGTCACTGAATTTGCAATAATTCCCATTAGCATAAAGGGCACTAGGTACAACTGAAGGCAAATGAAGCAGCTAGCAAGCAGGGTTATGTTATAGGTAGAGTTTGTAATGCCATCTATAGGTAAGGTTGCCCATCACTTCTTGTTATAAGACTCTGTTTACAGTTGCTCATAACTTTGCTAAACTTTAACCACTTGGGCTGAAATTTTCAATAACAGGTGCCTGCCTCTGGCATGATTGCTTATTTATTTATTTGAAAGTTTCAGCAAAAGCAGCTCCAAATTTTTTGAGAACAAGAATAGGGGAAAATATATTGTTCGCCCATGTTAAAAGAATATTTCTAACCATCTTGTTGAGAAGCTGTAGCGCCTCCATGCTTTGCAACAGGCACTTAAATTTGACAGCAGTGTTGTCCTGGTGTTAGGAATGCAGAGCTGCCACCTCTTATGATTTTATTGCGAATAGCACAAGTTTGCCCCTGCTGGAGTCAGTCTGGCAATGAGAGACTCTCCTGCCCTCATGCAAATTTCAGGCCTACCTGAGGGAAAGCCTCCTCTGATTGGCTGCCTTCCCCACTTCCCTATTTACAGGGAAAGAGCAGCCAATCATGACTGCTCCAGGAGCAGAGGGAGGACCCATGAGTAGGCTGCATAGCAACAGGGAGCAGAGGTGTGGTAAGTTGACAGAAGTGCAGAGAAGAGGTGGTTGGTTGTAGGCTAAATAGGAACAGAGATTGTGAGGAAAAGGAGCTGGGAGTGGCATAGAGGGGACAGAAACCAGTGGGAGGAGCCACGGTGTCAGAGTTGTGGATAAGATCAGTGTAGGAATTGGGGGCAGAAGTCAAGGATGAGTAGACAGTCTTAGGGGCCACTGAAGCAGAAGGGTCTATAACTACTAGAGAACACTCCCCTACAGAACCTGAAATTGAAGACAGTCCTGAGTTACTATATTCTGGTCCTGCTTTGAGCAGGGGGTTGGACTAGATGACCTCCTGAGAGCTCTTCCAACCCTAATCTTCTATGATTCTATTATTCCTCTGCTGTCAGCAAATAGCTATGAATCCCACTTGCGAAGTGTGTGTCTCATTCCCCTCTCGTGATTGGTCCACCATGGATAACAGCCTTCTGCTGCTGCCATTTACTCCATTACCCCAGGTGATCTGTGCTGTGAATCTAAAGGTCTGTACCCTGCTTATCATCCATGTTGGAAATCAGTATGGTTCCATGTGATGGATTTTTTGCTTTTTCTGGTGTGTTTTTTTTTAATTGGTAAATTACATAAAAATCCCTCAATTTAAAAAAGTGTTAAGATTGCAAAGTCAAACATTCCAAAGTTAGGAAATGCCAGAATTAAGGTTGCCTATGCAGGAATTTGTATTCCATGCAGTGTTTGGATAGTGTGTGTTAAATAAGGCCTGGAATTGAATATGGAGGATAAAAAAAAAATTGAGTAACTACCCTTAACTGAATGAGGCAGGGATCGTGGGGCAAAAAAATAGCACATGATCATGCAATTAATAATGCATACTCACAGGGAGGCTGAATTAAGGTTGCACAGGCAACCTACATTCTGGCACTTACTAACTTGAGAGTGCTTGGCTTTGCAATGTTAACGTTATTTGAATGTAATTTTTACGATGAAATATAATATAAATAAAAAGCAATTAGAGAAAGATCTATGCAAACACTTGTGCTGAGATTAATTTATGTAATTGATCCCTCTTCAACTGTTCAGTTGATGGAGAATAGAAAGGGCCACATAACAGGGCAGGAAGTTACCAAGTTGCTTGTACTTTTCTATGTCCTGAGCTTGCATTCAAATTGACCATTGCTTTTGCTGGGACAGTCCTAAGTATTGGAGGGAATTCCATTAGAGACAAACATTCTCACATCAGTTGGTTAAAGAAACAAAGTGTGAAAGTGAGCTCCAAGATTGTTGTATGGTGTTAGGTTAGAGTGAAGACAGTTCAAGGAAACCCTATAGCATTGTACTGATGTGGCAATTAAGATAAAGGTTTACATTATTATTCCCAAGTGGTTCTAGCCTAGTGTGTACCGGGAAAAAACATAGTGCCTCATAAGTGTTTTACAGTCAACCTGCAATGTTTAATTTTTTACTTCAAATCCACAGTCCTGTATAACATTACATTACGCTCCTAGCTGGTTCTGTAGAACAGTTTGGTTTCTCCAGCATTACTTCAGATTTAGATACATGATATTATTCAAATAAAAAATGCTGTGTGTATTATTGTGTTGTACATACTGTAATACAAGCCATTATTTCCCACATATGTTTGATGTGGACTGAGTTATAACTCTCAGATCTGGAAAAATAAACAACTTTGTTTCTTGCAGGACTTATAATTTCTCTACAGCTTCTTCGTGGGGACATGGAGCAGATTCGAAGGGAGAACCCAATGATCTTTAACAGGAGGGTGTCTATTACCAGAAAACTCGGTTTCCCCGATGTCATAATGCCAGGTAGGTAGATCTCCTCTAACTATAAAACGCAGATGCTATTGTTCAGTCTTTCTTAAGCATTGATAAATGGAATGGTTTTTCACTCAAGGATGGACAATAATGTAAGACATTCCCAGATTACAAACGTTCTAGATTACAAATTCCTGATTGCAGTAAAGCATACTGTGACAAAGTTGCTCCTCTACCGTGTTGGGTCCTGCGCTTATTGGTGGATTTTGCTCCGTTCAGAGATTCACGGCAGCTCTCCGTTTGGCCACTTTCATGGCTCGAATCTGCCGTTCTCTCAGATAACCTCATCACTGGCCAGCATGGGGAAAAAAGAGTAAGAACAATCCCCGCAGTTTCTGCTGATCCACCATGTGGGTCGGGGACCAGCTCAGAGACCTTCACCTCTGGTGGAAACTCCTGTGTTGGGTCAGGAGTTGGGAGGTTTGGGGGGAACCCGGGCCCACCCTCTACCCCGGGTTCCAGCCTAGGGCCCTGTGGACTACAGCTGTCTAGAGTGCCTTCTGAAACAGCTGCACGACAGCCACAATTCCCTGGGCTACTTCCCCTTGGCCTTCTCCCAACACCTTCTTTGTCCTCACCACAGGACCTTCCTCCTGATATCTTTTAATGCTTGTACTCCTCAGTCCTCCAGCAGCAGGTCCTCTCACTCCCAACTCCTTACGCGCACACCTCACTAACTGGAGTGACAGCCTTTTTAAACCAGGTATCCTGATTAGCCTTAATTAATTCTAGCAGCTTCCCATTTGGCTACAGGTGTCCTAATTGGCCTCCCTGCCTTAATTAGTTCTAGAAAGTTCCTGAGTTTCTGGAATAGTCCCTGTTATCTTACCAGGAGAAAAGGGACCTGCTTAACCTGGAACTAATGTATCTACCTTCGACCACTCTCTTGTAGCCATCTGGCCTGACCCTGTCACAATACCTATTGCCAATTTGAAGTATTTTTCATTGAAGCAGTACAGAACCGTACTAGAATTCATTAAATTGACATATGTAACATATATTCAACAGACTGTTTTGCTCTTTTTTTTAATTAGAAATAAGTATAGGGCTGTCTGTTTCAGAACCAGAGAGAGTTATCATACCCTTTCTTTCCTATAATAAAAAGCCTGGGGAAACAGGAGAGTTCCCACATTGTGGAGCTGATTCTCAGGTTTAATATAGCTCTTCTTCCTTGTTTGACAGCACAAAGTGCATGTAAAACCATCTATTTCCCCTCCCCTCCCGCAACCCACACCCAGCATCCCTAATTCTACACACACTCAACCCCTCCAATAGAAGTCTTGGCCACAGCGCTGCAGCATTCTAGTTATCCGTGGCTGCCAGAATAGCCTCTTGTGTCCATTGTCATTTGGGCACAAATTAGAGCAGCCTTGAGTCTGCTGAGTTGATTTAGGGCCCAAACTAGCATGTGGCCAGTCCTATGATCAATGGGCATCATATAGCCTGATTCATGCAGTGTAATGAGGAACTGGCCTAGAAACTCTCTGACATACATAAACTTGATATGCCAGCATTTGAAATGCCACTCCCTCACTTCACATTACGAATCAGAACCAATAAGGATTTTGTAGATTTGGGAAATTTTGTGTGAGCAGTGTTTGGGAGAAATGTTGGATTTCTGTACTGGAAAAACTGTGCTGGCACATTAACATCTTTGGTTCGTTCAGTCTTATCAGGCAGTCTTTATAGAAACCATAGTGAAAAGCTCAGCAGGGATTATGTGGGAAGTATTTTTTGAAAATATAGTGTAAATGATATGATCAGAAGTTTAGAACTGTATATATTTTAACACTTTTGAAAGTACCAGGATTTCTTGCATTAAGATGGGTGAGAGAGGAGGATGAGGACACAGGGATGCTAACCTCCAAATTCTATATTGTGATAATTACATGGGAATTAAAAAAGAAACAATTTCAAATTAAAATTGTGTTTTATTGATCACAAAAAAATTTTCATAAATCTGAATAAAGCTAAAGAAATTCAATTAGTTGACACACATTTAATGTGAATGTCTTTTTAGTGAATTTACCAAAGACATTTTTTGGCCTAAGAGCATGCCAAAGAATTTCATTTATTTAACTATATTCTAAACCTGTGTTCTATAAGCCAGGCCCAATGGCATGATGGTACCACATCACTCTGCAGTCTGCTATTCAAAAGGTTGTATATCAGGATAAAATCACAACTCCCACTCAGTGGACTACTGTAGTTGACATCAGGGCCAGACTTTTGAAATTGCAGTGCTTAAATCCATATTTAGACACCTGGGTAAGTGGCCTGATTCTCCTTCATGAATTACTCCAATGGATCCCCATTCTTGGGTATGTTGAACTGCCCCTTGGTTCCTTCAGACCACTAAAGGTGTAGCAGGTTCAGTGAATAGCTCAATGGCCTCAATGCTTCCCTCTTTGGTTTTGCTCTTCCTGGGACACCAGCCCTGCTCTGGGGGCTGTCATAAAGTGGGGGTTGCCCTGCCTCCTCCATGCCTCTCCTCTTTTAGGCAGTTTGTTTGCAAAGGAATTGAAGGGGAGCAGTCCCCATGCAAGGGCTGTCCCCAATCTAAGCCTAAGAGGTTTCTTCTAATAGTATCAACTCAGTCTACAAATCTTCTAGACTGTAGCTTATGGGGTTTGTCTAGCAGTCAGTCCATCTCAACACAAAAGCTGTCCAAATGAGTAAGATTATTTGTACATTATTGCTGTGACTTTGCTGGTGTTCAGCCACTGGGAGACATCAGGAATATTAAACTAAAAGCAGCTTCTACAGAATGCCTTAATGATGTTTCCATCATTGAAATATGCAAGGCTGTGACTTTCAGCTCCATATTCAGTTGTAATCCCTTGACTTGGCCTCTAGATCTGGTGCCCAATTCAAGAGAACCTGTCCTGCACTCTCTTTTCAGCTAATGCTCACCAGAGACACCTCATGCTGCTGCCCCAGTAGCGTGGGAATCCATACTGTCAATCCTTGAAGGAGGAAAAACAGCATACCAGAGTAACTGTGGTTCTTTGAGATGATCGTGGATATGGATTCATACTCCCCTTGCCACTTCTTTGGAGTCTCTTATTAAGGATTCCTGAATTAAAAGAAGAATGCAGAGGGGCAGTTGGGGCAATTATTAGTGAGTGGAGAGAGGTCGGGTGCAACCAAAGTCTCATCAGATAGTGATTACTAGAAAGTCCATACTTGTGAACCAGGGATGTGCATCTCCCCAAAGTGTGGGCCTACATGGACAGTCATCCTGAAGGACCACAGTTATCACGGTAAATGATTGTTTCTTTCTTTTTAGAGGTGCTGAACACCAGAACTCTGTTAAATCCAATGGTGGCTGCAGATGTTCTGCATATCTGAAAATTAGGCCTCTTATTTAGATGCTTAAATATGGAATTAGGTGCCTAACTTTAGGCACTCACATTTGAAAAATTTGGCTCAGTTATGTCAGAAATGGCAACAAGCACATTGGACACTCCCTGACAACGAGTACCCTTCTTTGAAGAGTCCATGCAGAGACGAAGAGTAGGTATAAAGGAGCACATGACCACAGTGTAAGTGGGTAGGAAGAAAGAAACAGTCATATGTGAAGTGATGCATAATGCAAACACTTAATTACCTGGACAACTCTCCATCAGCAAAATCAGTATACTAAAAAAAATAAGGGAATTTCAATGATGCAGGTTAGTTCCCCTTCACCCCTGGAGATGTATGTTTTTACAAGTGAAAATGTGTTTGATCTCATCCATTCCGTAGCAGATATTTATCCATATGATGCAGTTTGACGCAATTGATAGACTTTGTTTAGAAGAGGTCCAGTATTAGAGAACCAGGGATAGTATAAATTAGGATTGAATTAGCAGAACTATGAGAATAAAGATTACATAATTTTTGGTTCCAGTGTTATCACTGTCAAATTCAAAAGTCTTCATTTTCTGACAACTTTATTTGTATTTTCAGTGATTTAGAAAAGACTTTACTGGTTACCAAATCAAAACCTTTTGGGTGCTTTTGTTAGCTCTTGAGCATGTCCACGTATTTGTTAAATCTCTTTCAGACTGCTTTCCTCCCTGCTTTACTTCAGAGCTATTGCTGTGTTATTAAAGACAAGGTTTCTTCTCTCTGAAACGATTAGCAGTGAGCCCAAAGGTTTCTATCAGAATTATACTTTGCAACTAGATGCATGTTTTCAAGAGGTGACGGTCAAAAGAGGATTAATAACCATGTAGAGGCTGTGTCACCTAACGTTGCTCATGTACACTGATCAGATTGTTAAGCCAAAAACTGTCAAAAGAAAGCAAATAACTTTAATGTATTCAAACCCATTTCAAATGAACTTTAACATTCTTTTCTCTTCCTTTTTTATGAGGTGTCAGCAAGTTCCCTTTGCCCCCAGACATCCAAACATTAAAATTGTAAGGTTACTACTTTTCTCCCAGTTTCCCCTCTTCCTCCCTGGCTTTTTTAATGGCACTGGTGAGGATTCTTCTAACAAACCTCTCTTCCCCCATCGACCAAGAATCTTGACTAATATCCAGCAATCATTAGGGAACAGAATTACTGGAACCAGTCAAGTCATGCATATGTCCTGCATAGCTGTGCAGCGCATTGCTAAAGTCTCTGTGGACAATCATGTCTGTTTCGATGTTAAATTTAGAAGTTCTGAGATTTTCATTGTGTTGTGATCTGAGAAGAGCATCCTGATGAATGTAATGCTGTTCTGTGTCCTTGTGAATCAGAAGGGATTCAGTCATACCAGGCTTATGAAGTTTCTTTCTAAATTGCTATTGGATTTAAGAACGTTCATTTAATCCTGACAATAATTTTACCTTTCCCCAGAGATAAATGTAATGAGGCATGTGCTGCTTGCCTTTTGGATTGCAACTTTATTTGTATACAGAATTTGCTATCAGAAATCTATTGCATAGGCATGGTGTTTGTCAGTTTCCCAAAGGACATCCCTTCCCTTCCCCATGTGCTGATACCTATGCTGTCTTTTA